CCCTTGCTGGTGTGTGATTTGGGCTTAAGGGCGGTGTCTCTGTGTTCAGCTGGGAGTGATTAGGTTGAAAACAGCCTGCTATGCAAAATTATGTTAGTGAACAGACCAAACAGATAAGTCACGATGGTATTAAAGCTCCATGAGGAGCTGTTCCCTTCTCTGCTGTGCTAGCAGCATTACCTGCTGCATGGAAAATGTATTGGGTGCTTTTTTTCCCCCTTTGTATTAAAATCATAGAATGGTTTGGTTGGAAGGGACCTTAAAGGCCATCCATTTCCAACCCCCCTGCCATGGGCAGGGACACCTTTCACCAGACCAGGCTGCTCAAAGCACCATCCAACCTGGCCCAGGTTGCTCAAAGCCCCATCCAACCTGGCCTTGAATGGCTTCATTGATGGGTCTGTCATTTCTGGTGTTTGTCATCCTGCGTTGGCCATCCCAGCTCCTACCTACAAGAAGGGGCTCTGTGTGATTCCTGGGCTTGGAGACAATGTTCAGTCTCCTGCAATGACTCACTGCTTGGGAGTCTCCAGGTCTGAGCAATTAATTTACTGATCAATTTGCCTCTCATTATAATCTAATGTTTATTTGGAAAAACATTTCCACCATGAGGGTGGTTAAACACTGGAACAGGAACCCAGAGAGGTTGTAGGATTTCCATCCTTGGGGATATTCAAAATTTGACTGAATAGGGCCCTGAGAAACCCAACCTAGTCCCTTCTGACTTAAATTACTCCGTAATTCCATTGTTACAAGCTCGTAGAACAGGACCCATTGCACCATTGCTTCTCCAGGTGCACTTCATATGTGATCATTTACCCCCAGGCCTCTCCAAGAAGACCCATGAGGGTAATCAGAGTCAAGCAGCAGCCTTCTGGTTTTATTATCATTGTTTTATTTCCATTAGTTCTAAAGGTGTAGAAGTTACGCAGATTGGTAGCCATACTACTTCATAATATATATTTTTTTACATCTTTAAATAATTACAGCTTGTTCAGTTGGTTGGTTTCCCTCTCCCCCTTACAAATAAGTGTCTGTTTTCATGGGACCTTCCCGGATGATCTGGGAAGCTTCAAGCTTTACACATGGGGAGAAAAAGATCAAAACAAAATACCACCCCTGACATAGTCACAGTTTCAATGTTATGTTAAGAGTTGTTGATCGGTTTTAAAGCTCCCTTACAATATACCTGAGCTCCTCCTGATTGTACCCTCTCCAGTCAGCCCGTAAGATTGCAAGTGAAATATGGATCTCTTCTGATCAATTTACAAAAGAATAACTTAAGTAATCCAAGATATTGCACTTCCACAAAGAGGAAAGACATTTAGAAATGGTTAAATAACCTTTCTGCCCCTCTGGCATCCCGTCCTGGTTCTCATCTGGCCATCTCACTCTGGTGACCACTGAGCCATTGCAAAGGTCTGGTTTGGTACAACCAAACCTGGTGCTGCAAACCCTTTGACATCAAAATTTGCATGTGTGATTAATGATGACCTTTAAGGGAACAAGTCCCACAAATGCATTTATATACGTGTTGAGTGTTTTGCAGGACTGGGCCCTTCCCTCTTACTCCTTGGGGCAGGGATAGTTTGTGGTCCGGCATTTGTGTAGGACCTTGCCTCGTGTGGTCTTCACTAGGTTCTCCAGCAATAATAGCAATAATAATAGCAATAATTATCTTGCCTTAACGGGTCTCTAACAATTGTATCTAATTTCATTACCAAAGCAGGCTCTAAATGCCTCCCCCATCACGGGAAGGAAAGCAGAGCTCAGATGGAACCCAGAATTTTGTACGTTGCCCCTCCTGCTAGAATGAGCTGAGTGTCCTGAAACTGGTAGCACTTTTATCTTCTCATCCTGTGAGTATCGCTTCATCTGTCACTTCTGATGTTTGTCATCCTGCGTTGACCATCGTAGCTCCTACCTACAAGAAGGGGCTCTGTGTGATTCCTGGGCTTGGAGATGACGTTCAGTCTCCTGCAATGACTCACTGCTTGGGAGTCTCCAAGTCTGAGCATTTAATTTACCATCTCTTATTAGAATTTAACATTTATTTGGAAAAACATTTCCACCATGAGGGTGGTCAAACACTGAAACGGGAACCCAGAGAGGTTGTAGGATTTCCATCCTTGGAAATTCAAAACTTGACTGAACAGGGCCTTGAGAAACCTGATCCAGTCCCTTCCGACTCAAATCACTCTGTAATTCTATGGTTACAAGCTCCATAGAACAGGACCCATCTATTATGGTGTGTTTTTACAGCACCTAGTGTGATGGTGCTCTGTCTGAGGTCAGCCTCTCATCATCTTGATATCAGTGTTGGCCAGAATATGGCAAATGCTCCTGGACTGACAATAGCCCCACAGCAGTTTTGAGTGATTGAACAGAACAACAGAACCAGGTGTATCTGGACCTCTACTGCTTGTGGTGCAAAAGGGGGGACAAAAGAGCTAATTTCTACCACTAAAGAGAGCCACGTTGTCCTTACAGCCCCCAGAGCCTCACCTTTTGAAAGCAGACATCTTGTTCTGTTATCAGGGTCCTTGTAAATGCTCCTTACTCTGTTTCAAGAATTATTTTTAAGGCTTTGAGGGAGGCTGAGAACCAGCTAACAAATCTCTACCATGGTCATTTAGATAACCTGAGGGAGCATACGGTCCCCTCTTGCATTGCAAGGAGACTCTGGTATGGCATCTTGGAGTGTGCTTTAAGGGCAGGAGAAAAATTCAGCCAGGGAGTTTGACTTTGAGGGGAGGACGAGGAGTGCAGTAATAAGGCAAGGTGGACAGAGCCTCTGGGATCATCCGTAGGGGAAGAGAAATGGAACATGTGGTTGGTCTGGACTTTAGCTCCTTTCCAGGAGGCCACTTGCTCCCCTCCTTCTCAGGTTGTCCAGAGTAGTTCTAAGTATCTCAAAAGTGTGTGTTAGCCAAGTGGCATCTCTATGGTGCATGCTTCTCTGTTACGGCGGGAATTCACAGCCAGATCCCAAGAGAGCTCAGTTGCCTTTTGCAAAGAAATATAGTTCAAGGAGGAGGCTGGTTAAAGACCTGCATGCCTGGGGAGAAACACCTGTATGTTTTCACCCCAAATTCATATTTTTAGGTGCTATTTCTGGCCTCTTCTCTGCAGCCTACCAGGCCTGAGCAGAATCACAGAATTTCATTTATTATTATTCATGTTTCATGAATGTCTTTTCCTTTTCTGTAATTAGCACTAGTGAGGCTAGACCCTGCATTTGCTCAGAAAGACAGAGTGGAAACTCTGGTGCAAACACCATCCAGCCCTTCCCATGGCATCACTGCCGTGGTGTTTTAATCTGGGGAGTGCAGAGGCTCTGTCACCCCTCCCAAACCCTGCAAATCTGAGTTATGCAGAGAACAGGGAATGTGGAAGGGTTCAGGTCTCTACTGTGACTCCAGTCTCAGTCTTTATCATGACCAGTCCAGTTGAATCCTTCTCCTTAAAGAAGCTTTTCTACCATCAGGAGGAAAATGGTGAATTCAAACAAAGACAATACAATGCCATTCTTTTGCTTCAAACACGTGTGTGGCTTTCCTCTTCACCAAGCCATGTATCTGTGTTTGTGTAGAAACACTCTTGCTGGGAATATTAAACAGTGGGAGACAGAGGATGGCACATTTGGGAGGGATGCACAATCCCTCTTCTAGATTTTTACTTGGTAGTTCCGTACTTGAGTTCTGGATGCGGGGAGGGAAAAGAAGAGTAACAGAGTTTGGGAGTGGACAGAAACAAGGGTGGAGAATCTTGTAGGATGAGGTGTCCCAGAAATTCTCTGCCTGGGCAGACAAAGCTGTCATTCCTCAGAAATGCTGATGAAAACGCCATGGCAAGCATCTGGTGAAGCACTTAGACTGCACAGGGGAGCTGTGGCATCTGCAATGCTGGAGTTTGTTAAGCACATGCTAGAGAAAGAGAAGTCAGGGCTAGGTTAGGTAGAATTGATCCCTTTGGGAAAAGGGAATGAGTCAGTGAGCTCTCAGCATCTCTTCCAACTCCATTTGCTAGGATTCCCTGTTTGCTGAGAGCCTTATGGGCAAGAAAAAACACAAGTCTTGTTTAATACTCATGCATGGACGGAGTTATGCTTCTCTTGCAGGCAAGCAAGTCTATGCACATGCTTGGTAAAGAAAATGGCTTCTGCCTACCTCCATTAGAGGCTGAAGCCTTTGCTTGTTGCAAAAAGTGAAATCCTAAAGGGTCAGATGTGTGAAACGGTCATGAGCCAGCTGTTAGGGGGAAAGTGGGCACTCACAGTACAGCCAAAAATAAATGACAATCAGATTTCATCAATGACATCAAAACCAGCATAAAAGTATGCAAAATAATTAAATTAACTGTCTCAAAAGCAATGGCACAGCAGCGTTAGAAGAGCATCTTTCACTTGTTGTGCTCTTGAATAATCTCTAAGCCTGGCTTGTAGCTATCCATAAGGGAAGAGCCCAGCAATTTCCTCCAGGATTTGATGACCAACGTGGATCTCCTCTACTTGCTTCCAGAAGGTTCCTTCTTCCAAAATCCCCCTTTGACTTTGGACAGACCTTCTCCAGGCTCAGCCAACAACCTTTTGGAAACACAGTCCCATGATTTTGTAATGATAAATAGGAAAGGAGTTACTATTAAATACAGACATTCATTAGCTTTTCAGATCATCTAGGAAAATGAAGACAATGCTCTAGATGTGTGAGCTGAGGATGTATGTGTGGGAGAGTCTCTTTTTTTCTCTGCCCTAAATCATATCAAATTCACTAAAGCCACAGCGGCATGTCTAGTGAAGTCTGTTCAACAAACTGTTCTGGAACTGGCTCCGTTTGGTGGAAGATCACTGAATTTGGGTAATGAGAAGATGGTGGCATTTTCTTCTGGTCAGGAAAAGAACAGATGGTGACAGAAGAAAAAAAGTGTCTCTGCTCCACCATTGTCTGAGTCTTAAATGCCAGATATTTTTAAATAAACAAAACTCAAGAACTGTGTCCATCTGGCTATTTCATAGAAGATGGTGACAATCAAATAGAGAGGCTCATTTAAAGTGGGAAACAAGGTTTCAAATCCATTAGTTACTTTGAGATTTCAGTCTTCTCTGTTCATTTTTATGAGCTCTCCTACACCTCAGAGAAGTCCTCTTTACCTCTTTGCTGGAACATCTCACAAGGGGAGAGAAGGCAGGAGAGAAAGGGGGCTGGGAAACAACATTGACTTGACGATTACATGGCATCTTCTTCATCTCTCAAGTGGATCAGCCTGAAGTTCATGGGTGGAAGACCAGGTTATGCAGTTATGATGTCCCCGTGGTTTTCAGCCAACACCAGGCTGTTCCAGGAGTCCTGTTTGGAGCTGGTTTGTTGAGACTGGCTGATGGCTGACTGGTAAGCCTGCGGGGAAAGCTTCAGAGCTGAAATCGCAGGGTGAATAGATGATCCATGCCCAGACATGGCAGAGACCGAGAATGCCTATGGAAAAAGGAAAATCCTGTGAATGAAGCTTCAAACCATACAGGGCCATATGAATCTCTTTATGAGGGGCTGGTGCTATTGTAATAACATGTCTGCAGATTTGCTGTAGAGCTGCAAATTGCAGTTATGCATGATACTTTGGACAGGCTCTTTCCTTCTTCTTCTAGACCCCATTCTTTCCTACTACTGCATACAGGGCATCGTGTTACCTTCTAAATGTCAGAAATTATCATTTTAACTCCCAAGGCCTGAGATTTCATTGTCCTTGGGCTCTCCTAGCTTTCAAATGGCCTCCTGTGGATGGCAGGACATGTTACCAGTGCTGCAAAGTGCTGCAGGTACAGGATCAGTCCAGCACAACACTCAACCACATATTTTTTCTCCAAGGAGAAAACTGGAGTTCTCTGTATGAACCCAAAACGAGAGCAACTGCCATATACCACTGTCTCTTAGTCGTGCGATGGGGATCATTAACCAAGACACAGTTATTAAACCTGCACGTAGATCAGCTTCCAGATCTGGGTGTTGCTCAGCAGGACACACACCTTGTATAGATGCAGTCCTGGTCCCAAGACATCTCGTGGTGGGTATGGCAAAGAGCACAAGACTTGATCCTGCAGCTCTCTGCCATCATGCTGGCTTGCTTTACCTTCGCAGGGACTCGACTCAGTTAGATCTGGGCTGTGTCAGTTTATTCTCCTCACGCTGCATTTCTCATATCACTCAACACGCAGCCAGCCAGTGCAGAGCAAGTAGGGTAACATCAGCAAGGTTTTCCTTGCTCAAGACAAATCGAATCACATCGTAAAAAGGGAAGAGGCATTTTCTTGCTATGGGACCTATATAGCTGCTCAGCTAGAGGGAATTCATGTTTTCAACAAAGCTGCTGCTTCTTGTTGTCTGTTCAGAACTGCCATACATCATTAAAAAGCTATATTGTGCTGTAGACATGGTGACAAGAATGTGGGTTTTTGCACCATCCCGGAGGACAGATCTCTTACTGTGAACTCTTAGACCCCTGGGCTGAAAAGAGGCAGCCTTTTTCCACAGAGGTTTTGAGGATGTTCTTCTTGCCACGTCTACCATCCTAGTTCCCATCTTTGTCCCACTGCAGCATCTCCCCTCTGTACCTGAGAAATTGGGCTGGGGTGCCCGTAATGAGATGAGAGCCCAGGTTCTGTTTTTATGGGGCGCATTTCCTCAGTGGTTGTGGTGCTGCTGCTGCTGCTGGTGGAGCTGGTGGTCGGGGTAAGACTCTCGCTGCTGGACGGACCTGTGAGAAAGCAGATGGTAAACCAGGCTTTTTCCAAAGACCTTTCAGTACAGAGCTGTACCCATCCACCAAGAAGTTAGTGTGATTAAAAATCAGAAAAATAAATAGTGGGAAGGGCTTTGTTACTGCTGAAAAGCATTCAGACATCCCTCATTTTTGAAGAAGCAGCCGATTTTGTGGTTGGGTGTCTGACTTACAGGACATGATGGTCAGAAACAAATGGCACACATGTATACACATACAATAAACTCCCCCATTCAACACTGACCTGCTGTTGTCTTTGTTTTATTAAGATTCTTCGGCTTGCGCTTTCTTGTCTGAATGCCCTCTTTTCTCATTGCTAAAGGCCTTGGAACCTATGGACCGAAATATAAAAGCACATTGGTTTCTTTATGTCCGTAAGGTCATCTGGGAGAACATGATTCCAGCTCTACCTTGTAGGCTCTGTGAAAACCAGCTGATTTAATTGGAAGCAACAACAAGATGGAGCCCAAATTCACTGGTCAGCACCGCTGTGCGAAGAGTTATGTCAAAGCTACAAGACATGCATCCAAATGGGAAGAGATAGGCTTTTCACACTGTAGGTATTGAGTGTTTTAAGGCCAGAAGGGAACAACAGCACATATGATTTACTTTCCTGTTTAACTCAGAGTGGAAGCTATCTTTCTGACTAATACCTGCTTTCTGGAAAGGTAGTAAGCCTGTGGGGGGAGACCTCCCTTAGGAACTGATCCCATGGATGTAGTCACCCTCATAGTCAGAAACATACTGGGATTTCTAGGCAGAATTGTTGGGTTAGGTAGGGCTTCCCCTCATCCACCTTGTCTTCCAGCTTTGACCTGTCTCTGATGAATGCTCTTCCATCCACTCTGAAGGACTGGACATCATCGAGAGCATGGATGTGTATAAAAACCCTAGGAGTAGCAATGAGAAGCGGAACTGGGGTTTGCTACTAAGCAATCGCCAGGATGTCGAAGGCCTCTGTCTCTGCTATGGGGGTGGCCCCATTGCCACTGAGTGATGGGAGAAGGACTGGAGATTTGCATCTTGACATCCTGCTATGCCTTGGACTCCAACAGGACTCTGCTAGATAGATCAGACATAACATAGGGACATGAAGACCCCACTGACAGGAAGAGACTATGTGGACACCTGTGCAAGGACAGTCATCTATCGATCCCATGGCAAGTCTACACCCAAGTCTTAGCCAGGATCTGACACCCCGTGTGGAGAAACTCAGCTCTTCTTTGTGCTTCTGACTCAGATTTTTCACTAAACTGCCTGAATTTAGGTGGGAAGAATCCGGGCCTAGGTTTTTTTTTGGTTTTAAGACTTTGATGCAAAGGGTAGCTAATTAGCATGTGAGAAATACCCTGCATGCATCACCCCTTGCCAGTGTAAACATGATGTAATGCTGAGGGGGTCTAAAGCCCAGAGGGTCAGCAGGAGAAACAGCTCCAGGAGAGTACAGAGTTGTGCAACGAACCCAGTGCCCAGCTTGGTGCTGTTGATACCCTCCCCATAGAGTGCAGAGACCAATGAAGGCATTACCCCGTGGAGCTTCATGTAGAGTCCGCAGGCGTTACAGACGGGCTCTCCCTCAGCGTTTCTGCGCCAGAGCGTGGTTGTCGTCGTGTGGCAGTTGGCACAAGAGAGGCCGACACGGCGGGAAGCTGACTGTGAGAAAATGCAGAGGAAGAAAACACATCAGCCCTCCACTGCTATCACCAGCAGCATCTCAGATCCCAACGAGCTCGCTCCAGCACACCTCAGATTTTCCTCTCCTCTTGCCTCTTTCATTTCTCTGTCTTTTTCTCTTTTCACCTTGCTGCAGTGGATAACACAACTGCCTTTTTCTTCCCCTCTTGCCTTTCACGCTTCTGCTCCACTGCCTTTCCACTGCATCCTGCCCGCCAGTGCTCTGTCCTGGGGCATCTCAGACGGTGCCAGAGACATCACCTGAACGGACCCCCAGATCTCCCGTGGGTCTAGCAGCAGCTTGGAGACCCACTGCATGTGCACACACCTACACTAAGATGTCTGGATCTCAGACCCTCCTGTCCTTTCAGGCTCCCAAGCCCTTCATCTTCCAAGAATCATGGCATATCCCAAGAAGATGCTATCAATGCCATGAATGTTACATACTTCTTGCTGGCTTTGTGTGATGTTGCTCATGTGGCTTGAGGGGGAGATAAGAAAAAGAGTGCTTCCAGCAGCATCGTCTTCCTAAAGATAAAGAGGGATAATTAATAGGCATCCCCACCAGTGAAGCAGTGCAGGGAACAGGCCTTCTGAAGTTCCCTTTCTGGGTGAACTGGTTTAGCCAGGCTCAAAAGGCCACAGGAGAAAGACAATGGGCTTGAAACTATATAAATGACAAGTTTTGAGCTTGGAAGCAGAGTGGGAAGTAGAGGAAGAAAAATCCACATCCTCCACACCTGCCTGATTCTTCCCAGCATCCTTCAAAGCTCAGGTCTTAAGAGGCTGAGGATAAGTCTGGATAGGCAGGGGTCAAATTCCCTCTTTGGGGACTGAACAGAAGTACTGGATCTGTACTAGAGCTCACGGTCCCTGAAGAGGAGCCTATAGGGAGGAAATCCAGTGGTCTTGGACATCTAACCAGCTCTGCAGACCTGAACAGCCTAGCTGACAGTGGTGTAATGGGGTGAAAGCCTGGGAGATGAAGACCTGACAGCTACCAGGGATTTCCTCTGTGATCTTTGCCACAGCTTTCTCTCTGTGTCGTCTTCTTCATTGTAAAACAAGATCAGTTAATCTACAGCCACAGGAGAATAAAAATTGAAATTCAAGTACTCCTTAAGACTTCAAAAGCTAGAAACCCCTTGGGTGCAGAGAAACCAAACACTCCTTTAGTTGTAACCTCACCGTGCATGAGCTTCAATCATCAGCCTTTGTAAGTGGACCGAGAGCTTAAAAGAGAGCTTGCAGCAAAGGCAAAGATCTCCCCTTGCAGGGCTCTCTGGCATATCTCAGTCTCCAAAAAAGGGGGTTACACAGTGACAGATTAAACCCAATCACTTCTACTGAATATTTTTATTTAGGTAGACCAGTTGGCATTACTTTAACCACACCCCTACATTGCATCCCAAGACATGTCCTCCTTTTCTTCATGGAAATTTTCTTCTAGAAGAAAAAGCAGGAATTTAGCCATTTTTTGCAAGATTTCCAGATTGCCACCTGCCCAGCCAAGTGACAAAAGTGCATGTACAGATCTGCACAACTCATGCATTTCTATTTCTCATGGGGTTTTCCAAGCCTTACCCCAAGGCTGTGCAGAGTTAACAGCACGCATTGCTGCTTGCTGCGAAGGACCAAGCCTGGTACCCAAGGGGCCATTCCTGACTACACAGATGTGCCCAAGGATAACATGTAGACCAGTAAATGAAGGAAGGCAAGGGCCTGGGTACCAGGATGCAGGCACTGCCTGGCTCGGTCAGTGCAGTGTCTAGAAGGGGTTTTCACAAGAGGGCGCTGGGTGGCTGTCACTGGTGGCAATGCTCAAGCTGCCAGTGTCATTTTATGACACTTGCAGGGGATGGCTGGGTTTGAGCACAGACGGGTCTGAGCGATGCAAAGGGCAGGGTGGGTTGGGGATGGAGCCAAAGTGGGGAAACACGTCCCTGAGGGATGGTTTGCTGGCTCCTTTCTGCCTGGGGTCATGATGGACCCGTGTTGCTGGGGCACAGACTATAAAGTCCTTCCCCAAGCCCCTCACGAAAACGGGCATCAACACCGAGATGTTCCCATTCCCCAGGTTCCTCATGCATATCCACCCCATCCTGACCCCACAGGTTTTGAGATACCCTGACCCCACAGGTTTTGGGATGCCCTGACCTGCCCCACAAACTCTGCTTTAAGCTCACCCAATGGAACTGGAAGCAGGGTATCCAGACAAGGTGATCAGTCACCATGAAGTGAGAGGGGTCACCCGGTAGTGACTGGGGAATAAGGACCCTGAGGGTAAGAGATCGACTGGTAGTGTGGTGGAGCTGAAAAGGGTTTTCATTCATCCTAATATGCCTACAGGGATACTAAAGCAAAGACTGGCTTTTGCTAAACTGACACCACAGTACTGCCTCTGTGTCCTATAGCCCCTTCCACTGCTTGGCCTGAGTGTCTGCAGAACTGGCCTAGACAGTACAAGGTCTTGGAGTGTACCAAGCAGAACACAATATCTGGCTTATTTTAGAAACCTGGACCAAAACCACCTAGGCTGGGCAGATGGGGACCCAAGGAGCTGAAACACCCCTGGCATCTCCACCTAGCCAAGGTCTTTTTGCCTCATCCTCGCACACAGCCTTGCCCCACATGCGATGTGTGATCTTGACTTACCAGCCTTCTCTGAGGTTTGAACAAGGGCCGGTTGATGCCGTTCATCTTGTGGTAGAGCCCACAGGCATTGCAGAGGTAGTGCCCCGTGCCATCTCTCCTCCAGAGCGGGGTGGACATGGCCCCACAGTTGACACATTCTCGCCCCTCTGAATAATCATCAAAAAATTCTGCTACCATGATGGGAGAGAAGGGAAAAGACTTGGTTAATTAGGCAGCCATACATTTAATTTCTGGTCTGGTTCTCAGTTTAGCCCAGAAGTGGCATTTCAAGAAATCACAAACATTCAGATTTTATAAGTTGCAAGAAACAGCTCTTCCTTTCTCAAGGAAGCCCCTGTGATTATTGGGAAGAGGAACCCCTTTCCCTGCCATACAGTGTTGGCTGCAGGACTTCAGTGGCAGCAGGGATGTGCTGGGACATGGATAAAAGGAGACAGAAATAGAAACCTTCCCTTCTGCTCTGATGTTATCCAGTTTTCAAGATTGGATATAGCCAGGGCAAACAGATTGGGGCAGGCAAACAGCCGTGTTTCCAGTCAAGACAAATTGTCTGTGACCAGGGACAAAGACAAGCCTGGACTCACAAAGCAGAGCTGCCCAGAGATCAGACAGCTGCCCGAGCATCCCTCAACAGGGCTGAAGCAGGTGTGGGCAGGTAAAGCTCTGCCATGTACCCTGCTCCTCCACAGAAATGCTCCTCAGCCAGCCCACGCCAGCGCCTACCCAGCCCCTCTGCAGAGGGGAATGGCTGCAGAGAGGCAAGGGGGAGAGATCTTCACGTGCTTTCACCCTATTCTCTGCATGAGAAGCATCTCCTGAAGTACAAGAGCCCACATATACAACCCCAGCTTAGGCTCTCAGCTCACAGGCATGATTGGGTATTCATATGTGTCAGAGACTCAGCTTTTGATGTAAATCTCCATCACGCTTGATGTCACTCTCCAGGGCTTGGTGCATTCACTCACGACGTTCCTGGTTCATCCTCCAGCTGTGACATGAGGGTGAGGACAACTGCCCTGGGCTGGGCCAGTCCAATCCCTCTGACTATGGCAAGTCCATGTCATCTGCAAGGCGGTGCAGAGGTCAACACAACGCACCTCAACTGCATCGTCATTTGGAAAGACACAAGTCAGCTCACCCTTGGATACAATGCCCTCAAGAAGCCAAGAACTTCACCTAATAAAATATAAGCGTCATCTCTAGGCCTTGCTGAGATGTAAATATAGCTGCATCCCGATGGCATGGCCCTTGAAAATGTGTGTTGCTGATGGTCATCCCACCTGGAGAGTATCAGCTATTAAGTTCAGCTTGGGGATGTGTTTCTGCTGTTACAAAAACTATTCCTTCCTGCACATGGACATGTTCTGTTGTGGGCACCAAAAAGGGAACACAAGATGGTAAAATAATTGGGGAGAAGACGAAAATGACAAATAACAGGAAAGGGCTCCATTACTTAGCATAGACTGGGAATAAACTAGGCTACTGAAAAAATTCCCAACAAACTGCAGCACACAGGAGACGTTCGGAGGACGGCAAGAGCTTTGCATCAGGACCTTCAGCCTTTACAGACCAGCGTGACCTTAGGTGTTAAAATGTTATTGTGCATCTTGCTGTATTTTGTGCTTGTCCACCTGCTTGTTATACAAGTATCTCAGCTTTCTGCTGGAAGACAATAGTTCCCCAAAGTGCAAACCAACAAAATTGGGCTTCTTGCCGATCTGTGTCTCAATCCCATGTGGATTCTCTGATATCTAATAAGCGTTATGTTCAAACGTCAGCCTTATTTTCTCTTTCCTCCAGACTATTTTTTGGAGGAAACTACATAACCATGAAACAGCCAAAGGGTTAAAAAAAATTACTAAAGTGGTGCCTGTAAACAGAGATACGGAGAAAAAGATTCCTGTGAGCCTAGTTCTCCCTAGAAAACCAGGCTAAAAATGTCAAGAGATTACACCATGTCCCCATGGGGAAATGCTAGAAAACAGTAAATGAGTGTACCCAAGGGGCTCTGAAGCCAGAAAAGAAGGAATCTAGTATCTTCTCAGCAGCTTAGGAAAATCTCATTACCTTTGAGGAATTCTGGTGGTTCAGGAAAGATGGGAATCCCTCCAGGTGATTTTTGTACATGTGGATTAAACGATACCATAGCCATAATGCCTCACTTTCCCCTTTAAAATCACGATTGAGTCACAGCCGAAATCTAGATCAAATAAACTTCCTTTGAAAAGAGAAGGAATTGGAACAGCTGGTCAGGAAAGAACTGGTTTCCTTGAAAAATCTCAAGAAAGGAAAATATTTCACTATTTTTTTCATCTCAGAAGTTGTTGAAGTTTTTGATTATCATTTTCCGAACAAAAAGCCAAATTATTTTCACAGTAATTTTTGTCTTGTGATAAAATCCCTTCTTCTTTGAAAATAATTCAGTACAAAGTTGTTGACGTAATCCAGGGAGAGTTTAGCAGAGCAGAGGTAGTCCAAAGGTAACAGTTAAAACTCTTGACCGACTCTTCGAGTTGTGACTGTGACTAATTACAAAATATCATCTTTCCTGGAGATTTTTCCACCAGAAAACCAAAATCTGAAAGTTTTTAATCAAAGAAAAAGGAGAAAATACCTAAGAGTCCCTCAGAAACATTAAGAGTTGGACTGGCTCTTGAATAAGAAGCTCCCTCAAAATGGGTGTGATACGAAGAAATGTCAAGGCAAAGTCTAAGTTTTATAAGTCTTATTTTCTGATGATAATCAAGTTTGCTATTGAATATTGAGTGTTATTTACTAAGAATTTGTGTGACACTCGGTTCCAGTGCCCACATTATTTTCTCTGTTGGTTTGTAATCAGACATCCAAAACACCAGTACAAAGCAGTCTTGAGGCCTGCTCTCCTTTTCCATCCTTATTTGTTTGAGCTATATTCTTCACTACTTATTTGGTGGTTTGGGTTTTTTTTCAGTTTCCATGGGATTTGGTCTAGAGTGTCTCCTTTGAGGGACTTTGAGTGGTTTGAGTTTCCAAAAGTCCTCTTCTGCTTCCGTAGTAATAGCATTTCTGTGATTTTCCCCTCTCTGCTATAGACAAAGGTGATCCTTGTGAATGTTAATAAACAGGAATCACTGGTGCTCGAGACGGGGAAGGAAGAGACTTTGTTCCCAGGGCACACGGAGGCTCCACGCAATGGCTGGCTCTCCCTAATCACAGCCCTCATGGGGCGATATCAGATGGGTGCGTCCCTTGCGTGCACCACCCAGTGCTGAGTCAGAAGATGCCATCTGCAGAATGCAACCTCATTAAAACCATTCCTGGAGCCTCGTCAGAGCAGAGGGAGCTCCTTGACCTCAAGAGATCTCACCTGAAGGAGAAATGTCCTCTCCCGCTTCAAAGTATGTTTGATGATGGCAAAGGGTGTGCCTTGGACACTACTGGGTACTGGCTCAGAGAAGACAAACTAGGCTTAGTGCATGGCCTTTAGTGAATGAAAGGGCATTTTGGTACCAATGGAGAAGTGGAAGGCAAGGGACTGGATTTCTTTCTAGAAGAGGTGCTATAATTTCACAACATCACTAAACTCAGGGATGAAGTTGCCAAGGGGAGCTTTCTGAGCTGACCTTCTGGCCACACAGCTGAGACATCCGAGTTGCTCTTGAAAACCTGAGAGTCTACAAAATAATGAGAAAGTATCACCTGAAGAGCTGCAGCCCATGCAGTTTGACGTGGGTGAGTGTCCAAGACCTAGGAAACACAAATGCTCAAAATAGTTGCTTGCTTCTGAGGTTCTGAGCTATGGTCTCTGCCTGCCTCCTTCCCCCAGGGGCATAGCTGGGGCCAAGACCCCCTCCCCATGCCTGGATGCTCATGAGAAGACAGCAATATCTCCAAGGTACCTGCCCGTTCACAGTGCTCAGAGCCCACAAGAACCGTGATCCACCAGCAAGCTGAGCTATATTGGGCATGGAGGTCACTGGGCTTCAAGTACACTGATTATTTAATTTGCCACTGTTATTAATAACAGGGATTAAGGCGCGGCAGACTGGAGGCTCCCCGGGAAAAAGCACCAAAGTGTTTTCTTGGCTTCTGTCTCGGGGCTGGAGCTCTAAATCCTGGCATTATGAGATCCCCTGACACTTATTCCTTGTACTTAGCAGCCAGGAAAGGAAACGTTTATTCAGGCAGCAAATTGCCCGAGTGGCTCCCGGAGGGCCCTGAACAATGCAGGGGGAAGGAAAGGCTCCCCCAGTCGCACTCAGGGCAATAATTTCCGTTTTGTGGCACAGGAGCCGTTGCCTGATAATGGAGATTTATGGGTCCGTCGGGTGACCTCTGTAATAGCCTTTCTGCTGGAAAGATTTACTCCCTCTCCCAAAGCCAGGTATGGCCAGCACTGGGACAGGGTTGAGGAAAGGATAATGTTTGCTCGTTAGGATGAGAAGGACACTGCCCTACGTGTGCTGAATGGCCTCATCTTCCTCTTTGAATGTACAACTCCCCCAAATGCCTTTGCCTACTCCTTATCTTGGATAATACAAGCCTTGGGATCATTCAGGCCTTTTTATGGGTTGGCTCACTGGCATTGACTAATGCTAATGGCCTTCTATGCAATTCTTCATAAGACCCTACCTTCAGTCCATTGAAGGAGCTTCTCACATGAGAGCAGATCATGAAATCTCACTGAATGACCCGGCCAGTGGAGAAGATGGATTGGGTCCTGTCCCTATGCTGGTCATCAGCTTGCTGTGTAAAAGGAGATCTTTTTCGCCTCACACCTACTATTTATGAGGACTGCAAGGTCCCCAGGGCAGGAAATGTCACTTGTGTGTTGCACAACAGCCTCCTAATCTTGGGTGAGGCCTTGAGCATGCTAATGTCAGAAATACTTTCCACAATGGGACATTCAGTCCCCAGGGAGCCAGGAGTAACTCCTAAGTGGGGCACTGGGGTCTGGCAGGGAAAAAGCATTCTTGGATGTGGCCCTTTGTGGCTCTTAGTCATTGGGAGTGGTTCTTCACATCCACCGCCAGGTCCACAGAGATCAACTGGTTCGGACAATGCAGGGCTCAACAAGAAAGCAGATCTGAGCACCGCCAGCCGGACCACACCTACAGGCACTTTTTCCAGCATGGCTAGGACATGACAGCATCTCTGTCCACAGACATGGCCCACCCAAAGTCTGAATACT